CAAAAGCATTGGGCTCCACAGCTGAGATCCTGAGGAGCTGTTTTCTGAGCAGATTCCTATTTTCCTCACAACTGTGCCAATTGCAATTCACTGATTCAGTATCTGTACACCCAGGAACAACAGCTTGATCAATTTAGGTAGAACACAGTGCTGTATATATCTGCATCCCTGCTATAAATGACATAGTGGGTTTTGAGTATTAAAGATGACATGATAGAGCATCTTTGAATGCCTCAGGTGTTAGAAGAACATTTTGAAATCAGCCAGATTTATGATCATGTTTAGGCTGTGTTGGAGAGAAATCTACTTTCTGATATAGTATTTTGAAGAAAAGAGAAAGAATCAGTGACTGATCTTGACTAGATTTCTGCCTTCACGTTAGTCCAGTGCCAAGTTGACAAGGAAGCTATTGATGTATAAAGTGATCCTTTTATTTACATCATAATTAAAAAATTCGCTCACTTTGTTCCAGGTTGAAGAAAAAGAGTATATCTACAAAGACAGAGTTTACATCCACACTTGAATGATCTTTCACGATGACAAACCTATCTGAATAATTCTACTAAAATCCCAATCAAAATTTTCTCTTGAGCTGAACTTGACTTCTAGGGAATCAGGGATACACGCCTGACAGCAATGCAAAATGTACCTCTGTCAAGAAATGGCAGACATGAAAATCTATCTGAATTAATACAGCCATTGCCTTCTTTTGATTTTTTTGTTAATTTCACAATCCAGCCTACTACTACTACTACTACTACTAATACTACTACTACTACTACTACTACTACGAGATTTCTAATTTTTTCCTGTACAATCCTTCTCAGTTTCTCAAGATAAGCCCAAATTGATTCCAGTTTCCTGTATAACAGCGTTTTTCAAGCTTGGCAACTTTAAAATGTATGGACTCCCAGCACATTGGTTGAGGAATTCTGGGAGTTGAAGTCCACACATCTTAAAAAATGCTACGTTTGAAAAACACTGCTATATAACATCAATGGCTGCCTTCAAACGTGTCAAGCCTTTTCAAGAGAATTATTTCCAGGTCTCTTCCCTAAATGTAGGTTGGTGCAAAGATACTGACAATGTTTGTATAATATTCTTGATTCTCCAGAACTGATTGTTTAGATAGCAACTTCTCAAGCACTGCATTTTTCCATGATTTTCTTACAGTCCACCACAACTACAGTATCAGGCAGATAAAATGAAGAAAATGAATAAATAACACGACAAGAATGTAACTCAACCATAAATAATAAAGTAGATGAAAATACTTTAGAAAGGAACAGATATATTCAGTTATGGAAAAAGATTAAATTAATTTACAACATCAGCTGATTTCATGATTCACTTACCTAATCTGTGGACTAGGCCCCTGACATCACCACTACAAATTTAAAAATAAAACTAATCCTTCCTTTTTACATGGGCCAGGCCTCCTTGTTCATATATGCCTAGAGGCCTCTAGAGACCTGCCTATTTTAATTTGACTGAATGTATGTACGAAAGTCATTAAAGCTGCACATAAAACAGTGAATGTGATCTCAAAAAGTTGTTTCTGATGACATGTCACTTGCCGATATCATACCATGGAAACCATTTCATTTAGTCCTCATCCTTCCATTCCTATTTGTGCCAAGATTCTGATACTAGTATACCCCTCCTCTATGATGTTTGACAATATATATTTAAAGTGCATTACAGTAAAAATGGAAGGAGTCCCTGACCAAGCTGCATACAACTCCAAGCAAAAAAGTTGCTTAAGATTATCCAACATCCCTCACATTCTATATTAAAGCCCAAGTGATAACTTTACAATTGAACAATTGTGAACAATTTAGCAGACTCCTTGACCTGCCTTACAGGTGCTTCATTAACAAGGATAGAAGTTTCAAGATCTCCAAAGTATTTGAGGTTTTCTTTTTTTAAAAAAAAAGAACAAGTCTTTTTGCTCTCTGTAAACATTATCATAGCAAAAGCTCCCTGATATAACCAGAAATTAACTTTTTTTTTTTTTTTTACAAAATACATATAATATGCTCATACAATTAAGCTGGAACATTCAATAAAAAAACAATCAACATTTCTATCTACCAGCTTGTGATTCTCATCAGCCACATCTCAATAGAGAATTTCAATCTCTTTTTTTAACATTAATTGCATTAAGTCATCTTGGGATTTTATTCTCTAAAACTGTTATTCTGCAATCTTGTTCTGCTACCCCTTCCCCTTTTCCCTAAATCAAGAATCCTAACATTAGGGTTAAATGTAAAATGTTTGAAGGTAAAAGCCTGGTTGCCACTGGACAATAGTTTGTATCTGAATTCCAACTGAGTTCGAAGAAGCCCCGTTGGTGTGTAACCGTTCCTATTTTACTTTACTAGAAGGAATCTGCAGGTGAATTGACAATCATCCAGTCACAAACAAAAAGTAAACAGGTGTTTTTAAAGTATGGCAGGCCAAAGCATGACTCTCTACAGAGAAATGCAATCTCGAAAGGAAAAAAACATTAACTCTTGAATGACTACAATTTGGAAAATGGCTCCATTATAATTCCTTTTTTAAAACAGGATTATGCCATTACACTCTTACACAACAGTATCTCAGAACAGGAAGAGGTCCTTTTTAAATACAAACTTATAAATTATTGTCAACTGGTGCAGTTTTTAAGATTTGTGGTTTAAGGACCGGAGTTGTTTTGCTGTCAGTTCTTATAGACTGTCGTTCAAAAGAATTTGTTTCACTAATTTCACTAAATGTTGGATTGCAAGTACTCCATTTCTTTTCTTTTCACATCTATTGTAAAACAGCCATGAATAGCAGGAAAAGATGTTTCGTGAGCATCAAAGAACAGTGTTCTAAAACAAACTCAACTGTTTGACCTTTCTGGTTTGGTGTCAGAAAGCTACCAAAAGCAAACGAAAGTTTAGAAGGCAGAATCTGAACCACCCAAAAGCTGGTTTGTGACCACATGCGTGAACACAGTAAGTGAAAAAGAAAAAAAAACCTAAACATCCCTCCATTTGTATTTTTAAAAAAACCTGAATCAGATAAAATCACATGGCTTATTTAGTAACTTTCAGAATATTAATGAGGTTGAACAAATCTGATCTCAAAAAATTAAAAATTATCAAGTTATCTTATAAAAACATGAAATGCTTTTAATTCTTTTTTTAAAAAAAGAATGCTTTTTTTGTAGAACAATGCTTTGATTCAGAGAAATAAAATGATCTTCTTTAGCTCAATATTTTACTGTACGTTTAGAGGGATGTGGGGTGTTTTTCTTTTTTACTTGAAACCACAATGGCAGGGCAGTGAGAGTGAACGTGCAATAAAATGCCCTAATGGAAATTAGGCTGTATCTAAGGCAGAGCTTACTCTGGAGCATTAAGTTTCTAAAATAAGTGTTTTATCATCCATTGACACATCTCACTGCAAATCTACCTAGATTTAAGATCTTCCCCTAAAACACTACCACAGGAATTACAAAGGAGTAAATAAACACCCTACGTCTTTGTTTATTTAATTATCTACATGGTCCATTAGGCGGCTATAGAATCGCTTGGCAGTTGGTTGCTTTTCCTGGGTTGCTTTTCTATTTCTTTTCGTTCATATAATTAAAACTGGGGAGAGGTGGAGAAGAAAGAGAGAGGACTATCTGTGACCCGAGAGCCTTCTGGAGAATCGGAAGCTGTTATTTATTTATGTATTTATTATTTTTGATAAACAGTTACTGTGTCCAATTAAATTTGGGGGGGGGGGGAAGAGGAGGTAGGCAGGCAAAATTAATACCGTTTCCCTCAAAAGTAAATCCTCCCAAAGCACGCGCGCGCGCGCGCGCGCAGTACAATCGGATCTCAGCTGCTGCTTGGCCCTCGCCCACTGAAGGGGCTTGGCGAGAGAGCCACGGTGATCCTGTACCTTTAAGACCGCGGTTGGTTCACCCCGCCCTGGCTCCTGGCCAATCTAAAACCGAGCACAGGAGGCCCTTCCCTAAAGCTTACGCCAAGGTCCAATTCAGCCAGGGCTACTAACCGCCTCAAACTGAGAGAATCGCTCAAGGCGATAAATCAATGCAAATGCACACTTTTTTCTTTTTCTTTTTTTTAACAATTTGAGCAACGGTCCGCTAGGAGGAAAGCTTCGCTCCTCTCGATTCTCCTCGATTGTCTGGACTTTTTATTTATTTACCTACCTACCTACTTACTTACTTATTTATTTATTTTGCATCCACCGTCCGAGATTTGCAAGGAGACTTGGGAATTTGGAGGGGCTGGGAAAAGTCTGGATGGAACTGGGAAGGAAGGAGGAGCCCTTCCGCCCCGACAGAAGAAGCGGGGCGGTTCTGAAAACCCTGCCGCTTTTTTTTCCTTCTGCAAGCGAGACGGAATAAGGTTTTGGTCCTAATTCTGACCCTTTTTTGGTTTTGGTTTTTTTAAAACCGCGTTCCGGCTTTTATAAGGCTGGAATCCTGCGCAGAACTACTTGGCAAGAATATCTGGGAAAACAAATCCTGCCAAACCTGGCAAGAACCGAACCGGCCGGGACTTGAACGCGATGTAAAGGACTGAAGGTGAAGAAAACTAGCCGACCGAACTTCCCTCGGACTTCGTGAGCGCGCCCGCCCGCGCTAATCTTGAGTTGTCAGCACGCTGGATTTTCCAACAGGATTCAGAAGGCCGGGATGGACGGCCTGTCTGCGTGCATAAAAGGGAGCAATACACCCGCGTTTTGTTCTTCGCTTTCCTCTCATCCTGATTACCCAACCGCTGCAGGTATATACGACCCCGGCTTAATCCAGTTTCGGCAGCCACCTAAACTAAACCGACCGCTTCGCGGCTTCCACCAATCTCAAGGTCCTTCCAACCCGGCCTTTTGATTTCCAATGCACAACAAGGGAATTAAACGCCTCCACCTCCAAAAGTCCCCATCTTCACGACCACCTCGGCTTCCTTCCACTTTGACCATTTCACAAGAAAACGAACGAAAGCAAGACTTACTTGTTTTGTCATGGAGTCGATTAAACGGACATAAAAATCCTGTTCGGTTCTTATCCCTGGAAGCCGGAATGGGGAGAAATTGGGGGGAGGGGGAGGAAAAATAAGAAGAATTAAGCGAAAGGACGAAAGTGAAAAAACTGAAAAAGCTCTTTTTTTCCCTTCTTTTCCTGAACTTCCCAGTTACTTTGCGGTCCCGAAGTACGGGAGAAGGTCTTGAAAATTGGAAACCCGTAATAATTAACCGGTATCCTCTCCACCATTTCAAAGCTAATCGCAAATATATTTTATTCAGAGTCAATCAATGCTCAAAAAGAGATCCGCTCACGGTTAGCTCTGTGTAGTCCTCTATCCACCCCTCTCGTTTAATTGGAACGGATCCCTTTGCCCAGATCAGACTTTGTGTACCCTGATCGATTGGGCGAAGGTGATAGCTCTGCCTTTGCTCCCGATTTTGGGGTGGGGGGGGAGGACAAGAGAGAAAAAATGTTATTCAGGTGAGGGTGGCATTCTGTTTTATTTGGATTTCCACCGAAGCAAACTATTAGGTCTGACAATTCTTGAAAGCATCACCAGACTATATAGGAATTGTACTTCCTCCTTCTTTTCTCTTTTTTGGGGAGGGGAAGGGGAGGTTTGCTTAAGGGCGGGCGGCTACCTTTTTGGAGAAACATTTGAGAGGCACAAGCCGCTGTCCGAGAAATTCTACTCTGGTTTTTAAAACGCCCCATTCGGTCCTGTTTGCTGCCGCTGTTTTTATTTCTTCAAGATAACCGCGAGAGAGATTTTGCTCGCCCTGGCTAATGCATCCCAAGCCTGAGCGCGGTGGGGCACATCCTCCCCTCCCCTTTCCGTTCCCTTCCAGGGGAAAACAGACGTACTGAACGAAGGAATTCTCTGGAGATTTAAAGCCCGCCCGGAGCTGTCAAAGCATAAGGCAGAACAAGGCTCACCGTTGCTGTAGAGGAGCTGCAGACGGTAATGGATCCCGTTGTTGGTCTTTTCGCTGTTGGCTTCCTGAAGCGAAAGGACACACAAGTGTTAGGAGCAGAACCAGCAACTAGAGCAGCAAAGGCGCCCCTGAAGAGCCCGAAATCCCGGTCATGTCGCGAGTTGCTACTTATTTCTTTACTCTCCCCCACCACCACCCCGCTCCAATCTCATCCAAATCGGGACATTATTCAAAGGGGGTAGAGTTCAACCCAATCTGTTCTGGGGAGAGAGAAAAGGCCAAGAGCAGATTGGAAAAGCGCGGGAGGGAAACATTTACTTAGACACTTAGCCGGGTGTGGGGGAGGGAGGACAAAAGTTGGCAGATTGCTGGGCGGGAGTCGGCCAAGCGTGAGTTTGAAAGGATCCCGCCGGGCTCTCTTCTCTAGGATGGTCCCGGGCAAGGAACAGAAGGCACCGGAGTACAGGGAAATCTCTTTGATCTGATGACACGCGCAGGCAGGGCGCCCGTTCACACGTACACTTACTTTCTCCTTCTCCACGAAACCCACGAAGGCGGTGCGCTCGATCTCCACGGGCTGCCCCTGCCGGTCGTACAAAGCCAGCACGAAGTGGAAGAAGTTCGATTTCCGCAAGTTGGAAGGCGGCTGCTTCTCGAAATGAGCCCGGGCCAGGCCTACCCCGCTGCGGCCAAAGAGACCGAGTTAGGCGCGTTTCGTCCCAGCCCCTGCTGCTCCCCTAGCCGAGAAACTTCCCATTAGCAAAGCTTATGAAGGCCGTGTCCGGCAAAAAAAAAAAGGGGGGGGGGTACTAGGCCTTTCCTTAGCATCAAGCGAGCTGCTCGGTCCAACAAGCGGGGGGGCTAGCCAAGTTCCCAAGCTTGGGTCCATTTCGTGCCGCCTGCTCCCCAACTTCGAAGGAAGAAACGAAGCAGGTGATTCTTCCACCACAGGGGAGAAACAGAGCCATGCAGCCGAGTGGCTGCTCCGCAGGAACACCCCCACCCCGCCCCCGGCCTCGGCAATCCCGAAGCAACCGCTGCCTTTCTCCAACCCGCGAAAATTGTCCCTGTAAAAATTCAACCGGGGGGTGGGGGTGGGGAGGGGAGAGAGGCCTTTGGCTCTCTTTTCTTTAGCTTTTATTTTCCCGACTCCTTCGCTGCAGCCTGAATTAGCGAGCCAAAATTGCCGGCTGCTCGAAGCGCCCCGGGGGATGCTCCGGCTGCCTACCCAAGGCCACGCTTTCGCAGGTCGGGTCAGTGCGGCCTCAGCTGTCACTAACTCTGCCTGATGCCCGAAGCGCTACTCTCGCTCGCAGAAAGACTCTCTTTCTCTCTCTCTCTCGGATCCCAGCCCCGCTCTCTGCTCGGGCTGGAAACACCCTTACAAAACTTTTTCCAAAATTTCACCAATGGCTTTGTCCCCGCACTGCTTTCCCTTCCCGCGCAGAGAAAACGAGGGAAGGAGGGAGGGAGGGAGGGAGGGATCCAGTCGATCAGGACCGACGCCTTCGCGACCTGTCAAGGTTCCCAGCCGCCCGGTTTAAACTGGGGGCCCCGGCTTCAACCCCAGAAAACGGGAATTTGGGAGTAAGCACCGTGAGGAGGAGAGTCGAACTTAGTTCCCGGGAGCTTTTGGACTGGAAGTAGCTGGGAAGTTGAAAAGGTCCCGGGCGTACTTTTCTCGAAAGGAATCGTTGGAAGGAAGGGTGACCGTCTTGTTGACGAAGAAAAATATACAGACCATCCACAAACAAGCAAAGTTGTTGTGAAAGTGACAGGACCACATTGGCATCGGCAATTGTTGGATGCAACTTAAAAAGAAGAGAGGCTTTTGGAGAAAAGAGAGAGAGAGAGATGGGGAAGAGCAAGGAGTAAATGTGCAGCCTATTTTTACTTTTTAATGTATCAGAAGTGTCAACATGTCTGGAGGCGATTCCTGAATGTAAAGCTCCATGGTCTTTGAGATGGGAAAGAAGTGGGGGAGAGAAGGAGAGGGAGAGGGAGAGAAGGGAAGGGAAGGGAAGGGAAGGGGAGGGAAGGGAAGAAAGAAAGAAAGAAAGAAAGAAAGAAAGAAAGAAAGAAAGAAAG